CAACATATAAATATTTGAAAAAGATCATATGTAAATGGATATAGACAGATATAGATGAAAGAAGTCCCAGGGAGAATAAAAAAACTAGGAAATTGAATCAATTTCATCCTTTTTTCACTTTCACTTTGTATATACGATTTTAAATATATAAAAAAATTATATAATAATGTTTTGCAAAAAAAAACAATTGTTAAATAAAATTTTTTAATAAAAAATATATTAGTGAAAAAATAATCACGTTTCTTTTTTCTCGTGGATAAATGAAGTTCGCTTAAATTATTATCAAAAAAATAAATTTCCTTCGGAATGTTTTTGAAGAATGAGCCAAAAATTTCTCAGGGCAGATTTTACTTTTGTACAATGTTAATTATACATCAATAACATTAATATTTTTATTATATTCTCAGAATTCTCTTACTAAAATTGACAATAAATTCCCATTTGGGAAATTTCTCTAGAATCTCTCCACAAAGTTTCCTAAGGAAAGAACGGAAGAACAATTTAACTCTTAATTGCTATGATATTTAGTAAAACAGATTTGATACAAATCTATAAACACGTCTGTAAATAAATAATTTTAAAAGATAGAAACAGGTATAGAAATATTATAAACAATATTTTTTATATTAAAACAACTCGAGGTTTTTTAATACAATAATCGTTAACAAATCATAAAATAATATATTAAATTTCAATTTAAAAAAGAATATAATAAAAACTATGCATTTTCTGTCCACATTTTATACTTGATCATACCAATTAAGAGTTATTTCGTATTATTTAATTCTTACGACTATAGTAACTTTTGACAATTGAATTAACTAGAATTCACAAATATAATTCTTACAAAATGTAAGCTCCTGTTATCACGATATACTATACCAGTGTTTCCATCATTGTAACATAATATATACAACGTAAATAATGTAATCAAGTTTTTCCATGATGATTTAATATTATTGATTAATTAATGATATGACGTATACGTGCTTAGATATGTAATACTTTGATTATAAATTTCTGCATCAGCTTATTTGTATTTCACTTGTACATCAAATGAAAATAATATTTAAAGATAATTCTTTATCTTACTTTCCAAAAATGTCAGTAACGTATTGTAGTAAGTTACAAAAGATAAAATAAAGATGTCTGGAAACACTGGTTGTTGAAAAAGTAATACATGAAAGAGATAAGTAAGGTAAGGGTAATAAAATCTACGATTTATGACTAGTTCGTCAATAATGAAAATAAGCGAACTTGTTCGCAAATCATGGATTTCATTCTCATTCAATAATAATACTAATAAGAATCATCGTTATTATTTATAAACGGTGATCTAGTAGCTCAACAGAACCTTGATTATCCTTAAAAATTACAAAAATATAAAGAAATAAGTTAATTAAAATTGATCGCTCGATTGTATCAAATTTTTTTCTTTTTTTTATTAAAATCAAATATCTCATAATTTAATTTGGTTAGACATGTATCAAAATCAAAATCATGTAACCATTAAATTATGCAATTTTTGATATTTTAGTAATATTTAAATTTTAGAGGAAGTAAAAGTTATTTACAGTAACATTTTATTTTGAACAATTTATTGCGTATAACGCACGTATAACGCTACTCATGTTCATCAGATAATCAAGGTTCTCAGATAATTAAGAAAAAGAATAACTCACTTGCTCAGCAATTAGCGAACCATATTAAGCGAAAATACATCTATAACGCGCCAGTTATTGTCAGTTTAATCCCAGAGTATTAAGACGGCACAGGAAAGAAGAGGGCAACGTTTAATTAAGACCCAACAGCCATTCTGCGACGCCGAGGTAGTAAACGGTTTGTGCAATCCCGAAAAGGGGTGCTATTACTATCATTCTACACGCTCCACCTTTGAAGAACGCAGTTGGACCTTCATTCTTCAATGTTTTACTATTAAAATAAATAAATAAATAAATGACAGCTATACAGTTTTATCATTTATATAATTTACTAAAGTCATAATTGCCTGACAGTGTGAGATATTGTGTTACCGTTTCTCATTAATGCAATTTTTATTAATTCAAAGATTCAATATTTAACGCGTTCAAAATATTTCGTGGTCTGTTAGGAAAAACAATTTGAGAAAAAATAATGTGTCAATTATATTGTAATTTTACATGAATGTTGCACTTACGTTATGCAGTCCAGTACACCATCATATGTTGGTTCACCGGGTGCCTTTTTGATTACTTGCAATCTTGTTTTGACTACATCAAACGGATTCACTGATAATGCAGCTACAGAACCAGCGGTACAACCAGCCAAAAACGAACACCAAAATACAGCTAGAAAATAAAACGAAAAATATTAATAAAATTCTTAAACCACGGATAAAACTAATAAATCTAATCAGAGACTTACAAGAGCCATCCTCTCTCTTGGGCCCAATACTATTCAGTCTAGCGAATAATGGAAAGTAAATAATAGAAAATGTGACATCTCTAAGCGCTGTTGCACCAGTACCTTGGTAAAGACCCAAAATGCCTCTTTTTCGTAGTAAATCTTTCGTTAGTGATAACGCTGACACCTTTGGCACAACTTTTCCTGCTGTAATAATTATTTTAATTTATATATATATATTTAAAAAATTTTATATTTTAAATTTTAAATATTGAAATTATGATATAATAATACAATAATTAAGATTGAAGTATAATATATAATTTTTAACTGAAATTATATTCATTTATTTAGTGCATTCTTAAATATAATAAATAACGCAATTTTTGCACAATTAAAATACAGCTAGTTTTAAACACTTGCTCACTGTTTTATTTCTTTTGTTCTTTCTATTGTTCTTTTCATTAAAATGAGCAAAAACAAGCTACAAAAATTACGTCAGCAATTGCATGAGCTAGTAATATTCAATGTGTTAATAAATTCAGTCAATAGTTAGTTTTATATTTCACATTGAGAAAAATGAATAACACACAAGAAGAATCTTCAGTATGAATAGAAACAACACACTTTAATAAATCAGGCAAAAAAAAAAATTAAATCTTAAAAATTAGATATTTGATAAGGAAATTATCCAATTTCAATAAGGGAAACCTTAGTCATGAGAATACCAGACTTTCAGAAACTAAAGAGCAAAAAATATTAAATTTCTTTCTCGAGGATAATATTTCTGGAACAAATCAAAGTTAAAAAAAAAAAAATTTACATCTTTGAGAGTGCGTTAACAATTTAAAAACAAATCTACTCTGATAATAAGCTTAAAACAAACGGGATCCTCTTAAGTCGTTTACTGATTTATATCTGATTGTCATTATATTTGTTGCCATCCGTTTGTAATAATTAAATCTTCCTGTTTCTAATTTTTATCGGGTAATGCGGATGTAATTAATTAGAAATTCCAGTGTGATTGTTCTTGAAAAAATTCTGACGTACATAAAATATAAAATGTAAAATTTTCTACATGTTTATGAAATAATTCCTAATTCTTGTTAATCTAATTATTTTTTGGATAATTTTTTTTAAATACTGTACGTAATTTGCAAAATTACCTTCTTTTGCTGCCGCTGCTACTCGTCCAGCATCTTGCATTTGAATTTTTAGTAATTCCATCGGAGTTGTGACAATAATTTGACATGCTCCAGCTAAACCACCAGCAAGCATTTCACGTTCTAATGGCAGTTGCTGTCTGTGCAGAAAATTGATCCTATAACTACTATCATTGTTACCTTTATAATTGACACTGATTAACATTAACGATATCGAGATGTGGATATGAATATCAAATTAATATGGAAATTACTACTATTGCTATTAGTATTCTTGGCAGCGTTATATTTTTATATGCTTAAGAAAATTGAGAAAAATAACATACCCAGCTCCGGTAGATAAGTAATGACGAAATGTATCATTGGCAGTGAGTTTGATTGCTTTCTCTGGTGTGATTAAAAGAATATTCACGCCAGATCCTTTATACATGCCAAAGTAGCCTTCAGCACTGTAAGTCTTCTTAAAGCAGTCAAACCTAAAGAATTTTAAATTTAATAAAAGAATATTTACATTTTTTTTAGAATTTGATTCAACGTTTATTAAGCTTAATCTTTTGATGATATTTATGAACATTATAAAATTATTATTATTTATTGAAAGCTGTAACTACTTACATAGATTTATACATTCGTTCGCCATTAGGACCGACAACTTGATTCTGTAATCGTGTTTTAACCAAGTCCAGTGGGAATACCACAGAGACACCGATAATACCTGCGATCCCGCCATTTATAATTTTTGGAAGAAGTCTAAAATTTATTTACGAGCTGCATATAACACTCTATTCTAGTAATTTGCTAATTATTAATTAATAAGTTTAATATATTTATAATGTCGTATAATGCCGGAAAATTCTAATTCTACAGTGCATTTTTGTTAATTATAATTTTCCTGGTCAAACGGATTACTCACTTAAATTGACTTGGAGCTTTCTTCACACTGTCTTTTTCCATTGAAACTATAAGTTTATAACTTCCTCCCTATAAAATTACATTCTCTTATTAGATATATATACATAGTAAATACAATATGTATAATATATGCAACGTAATTGTATTACATTACTTAAATTATTAAATAAATATCAAATTATTTATATAAAAATTTATACAGGCTAGTAGACTATATCTTATAAATTTTTAATTAATATTTAATCAATATGCAATATGATATATTGTTCTCAATATATTATATTGCACATTGAAATAAACATAAAAAAATATCTGTTTATCACTGGGATTTAGAGATTACAAACAATTTTTTGTACGTAAAACTTATTTGCGTATATATATAATAACACGTACACAGCTAAGCATACAAATGGTCCTTTTTATTCTACATCGCTATTACTCTCAACTACTATTTCTCGGCGAGAAATATGACCTGGACACATCATTGATTTCTTACAAAAGCCAAAGCTTCCGGCAGACGTCATGAGCATAACTTGCATTTTAAACATTACAAAAAATTAATAAATATATATGACAATTATGTATTATTCCACGTACGAAATATATTTTCCATTATGTCCATCAAAGATTTTGTATCAGTATTTTAGTAATTCATTAATACATATGTATATAATTTACTAGTAAATTATAAATAATTTACTAATAAATGTATCAATTTTACTAATAATTTCTGCTCATCATGTTTGTCCTAAATGCGTTGGTTACTAAAGCAATAAACGGTTTGATATTTCAAACTCTATGAAACTTCAAGGAAATTTAAATTTGCGTGTGAACAATTAATCTAGCAGTTATTTTAAAATGTTTTATATCTTGAAGGTTCAATTTACGAGTTTTATTCAATCATGCATATTCTAATTTCTCACACTGTTTTAAATATTTACGTTTTCAAAAGACACACAAATACTCTGCAACAAATTCTAATTTAAATTTCTACAATTCTATGAGTTATCATTTAACCTTGATTGTAACACAATAAAAAATAAAGGAGACATTACATAAGTTGATAAGAATTGCATTATACAAATGCATATTTGCTAAACTTATTGAACTACATATGTACATATATATGTACATACTTATATGAAAACATTATATATATATATATATATATATATACGTATTTAATGTTTCGCGATGAAACTTATATATCCAAATTTACATAATTTTATTTCAATGTAAATTAAACAATGTTAATAAATAATGCAATACGCGCATAAGATATAATGTAGTAACTATGTTACGATCAAAAATATGTATTAAAAAGTTGAACATTGATAAAAAAAAAAAATGAGTAAATGAATGTTTTGAAAACGTTATAAGGAACATCTTAAGCATGGGGATAAACAATTCATCGATTAAATACGCATCATTTAATGCTTATCAATTCAGTATTAAATGATAATATCCACATAAACAACACGCTAAATATGGGTGAAGCAATAAAATAGGTTAGGCAACCATACCACCTGAAACTATATGCTAGAAAGGTTAGATCTTAATTCACAAAATACCTCGAAATCTTATTTCGCAAGATTTTAATTTCAGTCACTTACATTTCATGGAAAATGGCTTTTCAATTAAGGAAAAGTCTTCAATTATAAATCTTCGACAATCAATCAATTGTTCAAACATTCCGTCAGAAGTTAATACGTTTGAATAAACAATAAAGAACGTAAAACAATGCAAACGATGGTAGACAAATTGTCATCAGCAAGTTATAGTTTCAAAGTAGTTGGTGAAATTTCGGAATGACAGTCAACCGGAAATTCAGCAGAAGACATACTCACCGATTGAAACTGGAGAGTGGTCGCTCACAATATCCCGTTAACTAAAAGCAATTTTTATCATCGAAAGCGACAGCAGAGTTGACGTTGAAAGAAGCTCAATCTCAAACTGGCAGTATTGCTAGCATTATACCCGGGAAATTTCGTTTTCACCGAGGATCTCAAGAGATAAAAGAGCTTTCGATCACGGTCCACGGGTAGTACCGTCGTTCACTTACGTCACAAATCACACACCAATCGCAATGGCCTATATCAACGAAAGAAAGAGAAAGAATATTTCTGAGCGGCGATGTTCTTTGTTTAAACGTTTAAATGATATAAATTGAAGTAGTTATTGATAATACATTTGTCAATAGATTGATGCATCGAATGTCAATAGAAACACCAACATTTTATTATATACCGTATGCGTAAATAAAATATATTCCTAAACGTTCGAGCATTGTCAAATTAAACATTAATGGAATATTCTTAAGACTGTTACGAATAGATGATCTTTGATTTTGAAATTTAAAAAACTGCTATGTCAAATTTATTTATTTCGTTCGTTTTTGAAAACTACTTCAAAAACTACTATGCTGGAATTATATTAACATTGAAATATTTTATAAACAGTAGTATACTTAATGAATAAAAATTTGTGAAAATCTTCTTAATTATTAAATTGACTTCATATTTTTTTAGTAATTTTATAAAAGTATTGTACAATAGATTAACTAAATTTAAATCGTATTAATCTCTAAAGATGGCAGTGCAATCGCAATTTAAAATGTTCAGACTAGAAAAAAATGATGAGAGCAAGATAAAATTTATTTTTAACATTTATTCTGCTTCAATAAATATTGAGTTCTTTAAATAGCAGTGCTATTACTTATATTTTGCATATTTTTAACGTAGAGTGTAAAAAATTTTCTATATTTTAAAACGTTCAAGAAGTGTCAAATATCTAACCCTGTTTTCTATGAAGTGAAAGAAACTCAGACTACAAATTACTTTTTAATATTGTTAAATAACATCGTTAAACAAAACCTAGTAAATAATGGAAGTTATCCAGTTAGTAAGTTCGTCTGACGATGATGATGATTTATATTTAAATTCTGTCATTAAACTGAAAGGTACATAATACAAATGGTATTATTGTTAATAATGTATCTCATTTAATTTGTGGAACAAAACTCAAACAGATAATCTAATCAAAGTATTTATGTATAGCCTTGAAACAAAAACGAATGTCCCCACAACAAAATGAACTAGAGACTAAAGAGAATGATGAAAAGAATAAAGAATTATGCACACTTAATAGGTATAAGTTCATTAAAAAAATTAGTTTTCGTAGAATTTTATAATTTTAAAGTTTTATATATCATTAATATTTTTCTTCTGTGATTTCATGTTAACTTGCTACTATCTTATAGAATTAAAGTACCTAACAAAACTGTACCAAAACCAAAAACAAGAAACAAAAGATCTAGGCGTCGATCAGTAAGACAAAGACAAGTAAATCAACTTACAAAAATACTATATATATATAAATTATTTTTTTGATTAGTAATTCTTAAAATTATTAATCTTGAAATCAATTTCATTGCAATTTGTTTTAGAAAAGAAATGCATCAGAAACAGATTCAGATCTAGAAATTGTTTCTGTAGAAGAAAAATCGTCTGAAAATGATACATTGATAATTGAAAATAATACACAGGAAAATCCACATTCTAGTGAGATTGAAAATTATGAAATAAACATTAAAATTCTCTGGCGATCAAAAGACGTGCATCGTTTAAATATTTGTAGAGTACGTGATCATAATATAATTACATATATTTCATAATTTATAATCATGTACATTTTAAAATCTATATACACGGTATAGTTATTAAGTACTAATTCTATCCATTTTAAAAATTTACAATATTTTTAGAATGAAAACTTCCAACAAATTTTTGAGTATTTTGCTAATTTAGAACAAGTTTCATTGAATGAAATTTTAATAACAAAAGGAGATAAAACTATTAAAAAGAATGATACTCCAGCATCTATAAATTTGTCTGTGATAGACATACTCGGTAAATTATTTTAATTTTTTTTATAAAATCATAATTTAGTATTTTTTTCTAAATAAAAATTAAAAAATATATTTACAGAGGGAGGTATTATTAAGAAAAACAATACCACACCTCAAAAACCTATAAACGATGAAGACACTTGTACAATAAAAATACAAACAACAAACAAAAAAAGTCTAATTGTTTTTGTCAAACGAAATGAACATTTCAAAAGCCTATTAGAAAAATGTGTTGAAGAATTTAATGTTGAAGAATCAAAAATTAAACTATATTTTGATGGAGAATTAATTGCAGCTACAAATACACCTGATTCGTTAGAAATAGACGATGAAGCCTGTTTTGATCTTCAATTATTTTCGTAGTTCATAGAGTCCTATTTATAAAAGATAGATGAATTTATTATATATAAATAATATAATTTATATCCAGTTCTAATTAATTATTTGTTCCATGTAAAAGAAATTATCAAATTCATCAATTTAAACTTTTTTTGAAAAAACATAAAATATTAATTAATAATGGCTATATAAGAAAAGTAATACATAATACAAAAAATATAAAAATTATTTGCAATGTGTATTGAAAATGTAAACTTGATGCCTATTGAAGTATAATAAATCTAATAAACTTCTGTGTTCAACCAAAATTAATTTACGTTAAAATTAACGGAGATCCTTCAGTAGGTGGTAATTCCATAGTTTCTTGCGCTTCCACAACTCTACTTCTAATTATATTTCCCTCGGCATCAGTTTCGTCAATCGTTATTAAAATATTTGATATTACTGGCATAGATTTTCCTTCATCATTTTTCTCCCCCGACTTTCCTTGTTCTTCGTTATCTTCATCTTCTTCGTTCTCATTTAAATCTTCAAAAACCTAATAAATACATAATGTTTTTATATATATCATTTTTTTTTACTCATATTGTAAACTTTACTCTAAAGAATGATATTACTTCAATTTTAGGCACACTGGCATCTTTATTTAATTTTATTTTGAATTTTCTATTTTGTAATTTTGACTGATTAATAAAAGGATTTGTTTCTTCTTCAACTGCTTCATATCTGACCATTTGTAATCTATAACATCCATCTTCGTCATGGCTATATTGAAATCTTGTATGACCACTGGGTAATTGTAATTGATGTGTTTCAATTAAATGTTTCGTTAATCTATAGCTTTTCCTATATTTTACAGGGCATTCATGACAGCAATACCATCTCACTTGCATAGTATGAACTCGTTCTATATGCCTTACCATAAAAGAAATGAAACTTTTTAAGAACAATCAAAATGAAATATTTTAATTATGAGTTTTATTAATTTAATTTCTGAATAATATTTAAAAGTTTATTTGTACCTATCGAGAGTGTATGCACCTTTGCATTTGTATTGGCATCCTTCAAAATGACATGAAAAATTAGGCCCCTTTGTATGAACTGTCATGTGTGTATCTAGATCCTGTTGAGATTTAGCAGCATGGTTGCAAAGTTGACAAGGAAAGCTTCTAGTAGAAACATGCCGATATCTAACATGTTTAGCTAAATTGGCAGGTGATTCACAACTCATATCGCAAAGAGTGCATTTGTAATTAAAAACATGCATTCGCATATGATCCCTCAAAATTCCCTCGGTTGGATAAAACTTATTGCAGTGGGAGCATTGGAATCCCTGAACTAACAAAAATTAAGAACATTATTTATTTATATACCAAATTTTCAACAAGCATTTGTGTAAATAATTCAATGATTTTCTACAATCAAAAATGTTATGTACATATAATATTATATGTAAATAATATACTGTGACATTTGTAAATAAATGAGAATTTTTTTCATTTTACCATCAATTGGAATCTGTCGTTTGCAATGTATATGAAATTTTGTATTGGAAGCAAACGTAGCACCACAATCAGGACAAGCAACAATTTTTTCCTTTGTATGATGTCGTATATGATTCCTCAATTTGTACAAATTAGGGTAGCAGTTATCACAACCTGTCCATTTACATTTTACACCTCCTTCAATTTTATTACCCCTTGGACCTTCCTCAATATGAGCAGCTACATGATATAAATATAATTGATAATTTCTAAAGTATTTCAAACATTCCTCCCAACGGCAAAGAAGTGGCGCTGGAAGATCCACAACATTTTTCCATTCGGAGTCTCTACGACATTTCTAAAATATAATTAAAATATAATTTTTAAATTTTTAATTTTAAATTTTATATATACATCGATATCCCTATTTAATTTCTAAATTGTAAAACTGAAACAATTTTTTATCAAAATACTATAATTTAAATAACATTAATATTACTTGTGTTATAATTATTTTGTGAATATACTTTATAATATAGTTATTTGACAATTTACTGCTAATGGATAATTTCTTACAGGTAATTTAATTCTGGACCGAATATTTGATCCAATACATTTTAATTTAGTGTGATAGGCATGATAATTGACGTGCCTAGAAATCTCGTCGGGTTCGTCATTCTCGTACAAACAATCAGTCCATTGGCATATGTAAACATTGACTCCTTTCTCATTGGTCCGCGTATTTAAATCAGACACATGTGTAGCCACGTGATTTACGAATCGCTCAACATGATTGGTTTCGTGTTTGCAGCCAATCCATTCGCAGGACAAATGAAAAACTTCACGTTTCAGCGGGAAACCAACTCTTCTCTTCGTTCCGCACTCTGACACGGAATCAAATTCAGAATCAGTATTATAACTATCATCGTCATCTATTTGCTTTCTTTTACATTGTGTCTCGTCCGTGTATGTGAAATCTTTTTGCGATTCTACCCAATCATTACATCGTTTTTGCACGTCTTTACTAGTTATTAGTTTTTTCCCAAACTCTGTCATTTTATTAATTTAAAATTTATATTTCAATACTCCTAGATCATGAACTTCCGTCATGTAATACGTACAATTTTCATTTACGCATTACGAAGTTAAAAACTTGTTAAAAATTTACTGTTAAGAACTAAATATTTAAAAAATTCCTTAATTTAGACAAACTTAATACTTTAAGGCGAAATCTTATTGTTAATATTTTTCTTAAGGCAACACTTAATATTTTGATTAAAAACCGAACGTCTCTAACTGATCATTAACTTCCATGTTCTTCTCATCAATGATCATGCTCGATACTTGTTCTTAAATACCTAACCTGAGTTTAACCTAATGCAGAACAATTGTATAAATAAAGCATCGTGTTAGATTTATAAAAGTTATTATTGTTATATGTTGAATACACAGATGTTACGAATACTTTTAAATAAAAGTACTTGGAAGTTAACCAATAGTTCGGAGGAAATGAGATACACAGTTTTTACTCCATTAATTTTACTACGAAGGCACTTCACAGAACGTGGATCTTCTACAATTTACGCACTTTCTTCTGGTTGTTATTTCTACATTTTTATTTGTCTATATTTTTATTCATTAGTCGAATTTTTATAAAATTAATGTGCAACGTACAATTTTAACTTGGTAGCTACTTTGACACTGCTTTTCACGAGACGAGACATTCAGCATTCCGCCAATTTTAACTGCGCATGCGTATCGTAATCAAGTTTAAATATACAAGAACAATTAAATGAAATTATCAATTATGATCTAAAATATAATATAATTAAAAAGATATTAATTATAAATAAATAATATAGATTCGTTATTTTTATATTTATATTTTTGCTTAATTAAAAAAATTATTATTTAAAATTATATGTACACATATAATTTTACTTATATAACTTACGCATATTATAATAATAATTCTACTTCATCTTATTTATTAATTTATTTAATTCATTAAATGACAAATACTTCTTTTTATTAAAGGATATGGTAAATGTGGGGTAGCAGTAATACGTGTATCTGGACCAAAAGCATTAGTAGCTTTACAAAAAATGACAAAAATATCTAGTCTAAAACCTAGAATAGTATTCTTAAGAAAAATTTATGATCCTGAGACGAAAGAAGTTTTAGATAAAGGTTTATGTCTTTGGTTTCCAGGTAATATATTTTAGAACATAGTTTAAAAAAGTGTCATTCAGAATTATATATATAAAATGAATATTAGAAACACATAAAAATAAAAAGAGTTATGTATTCAATGAGTAATAAATTTCAGGACCTAACTCATTTACTGGAGAAGATTCTGCAGAATTCCATGTTCATGGTGGTCCAGCAGTAGTGACATCGGTTCTAAATGCGCTTTCAAAATTACGTTTTCAGTTAGCGCTTCCCGGAGAATTCACAAAAAGAGCATTTTTAAATGGAAAAATAGATTTGACTGAAGCAGAAGGTATAGGAGATTTAATTGAAGCAGAAACTGAAAAACAACGTAAACAGGTAAAAATGTAACTAACATTATTATATTATTCAGAAATAATAATATTCTTTAGTTATCTTAAATTAATAGAATTTACTATGTTGCAACATTTCCTCTTATTAAAATCCCAATAGGCCGCTAATCAAGCAAATGGATCCCTTCGTCATCTCTATGATTCATGGCGTATTGTTTTGTTAAATGTACTTGCCAATTTGGAAGCTTATGTTGATTTTTCTGAAGAGCACAGTGTAACTTCTAATATCTTAAAAGATGCTAAAATTACTGTGCAAAAGTTATCTACAGAAATTCTACAACATCTATCTGATGGTAGAAAAGGAGAAATTTTACGCACTGGAGTACATGTAACAATTCTTGGAGAACCAAATGTAGGGAAAAGCAGTCTGTTAAATCTTCTTTCAAGGAGAGATGCAGCAATTGTTACCTCTTTGCCAGGAACAACAAGAGATGTTATAGAGTTAACAACAAATATTTGTGGATATCCAATGATTCTTGCAGATACTGCAGGAATTAGAAATAATCCAGAAAATGAAATAGAAGTAGAAGGTATTAGAAAAGCGAAAGAATATTCAAAAGAAGCAGATTTTGTTATATGTGTAATTAGTGCAGAACATAAAATAAAAACTTCTTTAGAAATATTTCTAAAACAATATAAAAGTTATTTAGAAATAGACAAAAAAAGAGTTCTTACAGTATTGAATAAAATAGATTTGCTTAAAGAAGAAGAAAAAGAAAATTGGAGAAAGCAAAATGTTGTTCCTATATCATGTAAGACACAGGAAGGTTTAAAAGAGCTAACAAATGCATTAGGAGAATGTTTCAAAGAAATGTGAGTATTTTATTTATAATATTGGAAATCAAGAAATACTGTACAAATAAATAAGTAAATAAATAAATAAATATATATATA